CGAGGTCCTTCCTGCAGGGCGCGGGCCCAGGGCCGAGACCCGCGGCCGCAAGGCGAGGAGGGACCGGGGCGCGGGGAGGACGGACGGGGCGCGGGCCGGCCTGGGGTGCTGAGGGTGCCTGGGCTCCCCGGGAAGCTCGGAACGCTACGGGAGGTCTCCTGCTGGCGCTTTTCCGGGACGAGTTGGGCGGGAAGCATCAGCTAGGAGGAGAGCTTTTGCTTAGGAGCAGGAACATTTGAAACTTTGGGTCCAGACTGCACTTCTCGGTGTTGGGAAACAGCTGGGGACGCCCGGCCCGCGTCCCAGAGACCTGTGCCAGGATGGAGACCCCCTTGGAACCGCAGAGGGGACCCGCGCACGGCCTTTCCGCGCCCACCAGGAGTCTGGCTCCTCTGAGCTCCTGCTCGGCGACCCTGCTCGCAAGCCCGCGACGCGACTCCGCGAGGGCTTGGTGCGCAGTCGCCCAGCGTTTCCGGAGCGCAGACGCCAGGGCGAGCGGGCTCCCCGGGGTGCGGGCGGGGAGGCAGGCAGCTCGGGTCCTGGGCAGGGAGCACCCTGCGGGGCAAGATCGCGGCGCCTGTGGGTCCCCACTCCGCGGGCGCCTCTATCTTTGTGAAGTGAACGCGAGCGCCTGGGACCCGTTCAGGGGATGTTTGTCTTCCACACGGTCCTGCTAGGTGCAAGGCTAGCGTGATCCCGAGATGGGAGCGCAATTAGGGAGTCTGACCTTTGTCCAGCCGCCGGGCGGCTGCTGGTCCACACACTTTCACCTAGGGTCGGGGAAACAGCGCCCTCTCCGACCCTTCGCTCGCCTCGCTATTTTCCTCCGTATTGAACTGCAAGGAGCTGCTCCTTTGGGTGGGCTCACCTCTCTCAGAAGCCCCTATCTCCCTCAGTTGATAGCTTTAAACTTCAAGCTAAAGAACGTGGCTTCCTCTCACTTAAATTGTTTTCCTAAAACAGCCCTCTGGGAATTTCCACAACTTCTCCTTAACATTTAAGAATTTCTAAGTTTCGGCGGCCTGAGCAGTGAAGTGTCAGCTCACAGAATGTCAGCCTTTGAACCTCCACAGTCTCTGACTTATAATACATTCTTTCCAAAAAGAAGGAGCCTTAATGGAATCATTAGATCTGAAAGGGGAAATCTGTAAAAATAAGTAAATCACAAATGAGCCATTTAGTACCTGTAAACTGTTTAACATTAAAATAATATTTGCTCACACAATTAAAAAATTTAAAGGTATGTTGCCAAGTTTCAAACTACCCAGGCTTTAATACGTCACCTCTCCCCAATAAAGGTTAAAAAAATGGGATTCAAAATATTAAGTCAGTTATGCTATAAATTAGTTACGTGCTTAGAATATTGTAAAGGGTGACATCAATAGACTGCTTTGATTTATGTTGTTTTTTTCTACTAATTAAACAAATTGACCCCCCGCCCAAGTTTTCTGGTGTTAATGGCAAAACAGCTATCGAATATTTTTAGAATTGCCAACACAGAAAAAAGAAAATATAGACACAGGAAGAATAAATGCAGCACTCTTTATATACCCGAGTTACTACAGTTTCCGCATAATATGTTACTTCACCTTTTACTTGGGCTGCAGTCTTCTTGCTGCTCTTTTGCCAGAAGGAGGAAGACCCTCCCAGCAGTGTCTTCCAGAGATATTTCTTGTTCTTCAAATAAATAAATAAATAAAAATAAAGTCATAAAAGAATTAAAACTTCTTGTGAGGAGAATTAAAATTTCTTGCTCATTTTCCACGAAAGGCAATTATTAGGAAGCAGATGCATTATCCAAGCTGTCCTGCTCTTTACCTGCAGTGAAAATTCTCTTCAATATATACACAGGGCCCTGACTCTTTGCCTCTTCTGAGAAGGATGTTTTCTGATGTCAGCACCAAGCTGCCGATGTACTGATGTTCTAATCTAAAGACACAGGACTGCACATGAGACACAGTAGAAACTTCTTTTTTAGGCTGTGGCCTAGAATAAGTGCCAGTAGAGGCTAAATGTTTCTTAGGCCTTGCTATCACGTAAACACAGCTTACCGACTAGGAGGATTTGAAGCCTGCCTTTAATCTGCAGTATTTCCATGTGAGGACAGCTGGTGTTGTGAGCTCTGCACCTACAGGGATGCCTGGCCTGGGAGCAAGTCGCACACTTCCATCTTCCCAGCCCTCTGGCAGTGTATCACCTCTAACTTCACAAGAGGTTTTCTAAATTTTTAAGTGCACTACTTTTAAATTCACAGTAAATCACCTGTTGATGTGATTCAAATAACCCTGATCCCCAGAGGTATTTCTTTTCATAATTTGGAAATAAAATGTACAACCATTTATGTTTAGCTTCTGGTTCTTTTTCTGTCTTTCTTAGCCCTAACAACAACCAACAGATCAACATTACAAAGTAAGTTAGTACAGTTCTTTAAACAGGGCGCCTGGGCCCAGGCATTCTCATCACCAACAAGCATCCTGGTTTAACATTTGCCAACCTACAGCTGTAAAATCCTACGAAACTAAACAATTTCCCTTCTCTGAACTTTTTGTGTTTATACAGAGAAGTTGCATAATGGACTAAAAAAAAAAAAAGTTCTCATTTGATACCTTTAGAACATGTCTGCAATCACTTGCCTGGACTTAGAGGAGGCCATTGCCAGCTGACCTTAAGGTAGCAAAACACAAAAGGGAGCACACGGCCTCCAAAACCCACCTAAAGGAAATGAGAGGGTGTGTCTCTTGTTTTGATGAGGGTGAGACTCCTTAGCTGGGTATGGGTATCTAGAGGAATTGCCTCAGGAGAGAAGTCTGGATTGTCTCAAACTGATGGGATCCTTCATATCAGTATCAAAGTGGACTCCCCACCCTTCCTCACCTTCCCTGCCTTGCTCAGCTTTTCCCTGATTGGACCAAAAAGCTCAGCCAAGGAGACAATTTTCCTGAGGAGAGCCCAGGCCAAGTTCAAAGATATTGTCCATAGTCTCTCTCATGTGCACCTCCCAAAACCATGACCTTCCGGGGTTGAGTGTGTGTGTGTGTGTGTGTGTGTGTGTGTGTGTGAGAGAGAGAGAGAGAGAGAGAGAGAGAGTCTGAGTGTGTGAGAGTGTATGTCAGTTCAAGTGGGTCACCTGGACTGATAGCCCTTGGATGCCCCTGGCCAAGCCAAATTCTTGGCTTCCAACAGTAGGCAGTTCTGGACTTGTGAGAAATCACACAGGGCTCCAGGTCCCACCTCACTGAAATAACAAACCCCTAACTTGAACCAGTATGCTGGGATGCCACAGGGCCCTCGTGGCTGTGGCCCAGCTCCCATGAAAGGTGAGTTGTCCTGCCTGCAGTTTTGAGTCTGGGCTGCCTGGAAAGAGCTGCCTCCTGTCCATACTGGCACCTCAAAAACCTTTGCCTCCCCAATTCCACCTCTCTCCACCGGACCAACATGCAGTCCCTTCCTAAGACAGCGCCTGGACCAAAGAAGGAGTGCGTCCAGACACCCACACCTAGAGGAGGTTGTGTCCATTTGGCTTTGTGCTGGCAATAAGTGCGTCTTTCCTGGAATTTCTCAGAAATAAGGCCATGGAAGAGCAAGTGTGAAAGTTGCCTGCTTCCTCTCTAGGGTCTCCTGGTGTTGCTGGGTGCTGGGTACAGCAAGAGGAGGGTCTCTTAGGGCATGGGTCTTGGAAGGGTTACTGGGGCAACGAGTAATCTATCAGCTCCTTGGGTTGCCCATTGTGGAGACAACCCAGCAAGTGGCAGGAGAGTTTCCCGGTCTCAGATTGGGACCTGCAGAGCCTGGGAACTCCTTAATGCGCTTCACTGCTTCCCTTTCTCCCAAGAATCTGGACTCTGGGTCCCCACGGCACCCGTTTTGCCCAGAGTAGTAGTGGGTGTGTGGTTTCACACGTGTACAGGGCCTCCGGGCCAGCTCCTTCGGGGAAAGCCCTGCATCTCGCGGAGGGCAAGGGAAAGCTTCCGTGACAGGGCGAACGAGGACAGGGCCGCAGGCGAGGGCGAACTTCCTCCTAGCAGTGCTCCTCCCTTCCTTGCCTCCGGGTCAGTTTGTGACTCATAAGTGAGATAAACCCAGGCCTGACGGGTCCTGGAGAGGTGCGAACGTGAGCCCGCTCCAGTCCGCGCGCTCCCGCTGGGGTCCGCGTTGGGGGTGCGGAGACTACCCCTCTCGGCGCTCGCTGGCGACCCTCGCTGCCAGCCTGCCTCCCGCGGTGTGTTTTATTCCATTTAACAAGATTTGCAAAGCCATTGCCGTGTGTGTCCCGAGAGAGGAGAGGAAATGAGGGAACTGGGCGAAGCTCGCGGCCAGCTCTCCCCTGGCTCCTAAAATCCTTGCACCCCGGTGACAGTTCCGAGCAGGGAGAAGTGGTTAGCGCAAGCCTGCTCTCCCGGCGGTGGCGGTGCGTTCGGGACACTTGGCCCCCGCCCAGGGCGGCCGTGGAGCTGTCCATGGTGGCCGAGCCGTGCGCGGCGTGGGCCAGATGAAGCCCCCTGCCCGGCCGCACCGCACCCCGCGGGACGATGTCGGGGCGCAGCTCCGGCTCTCCCGGGCAGAGCTGCGATCCCGAGTCTGCGTCGGGTGACTCAGGCGCTCCTGCCCCGGCGCGGCGGTGAGGTTGCTGGTCCGTGCCTCTGCGCGGGGTGCGGGTCCATTTACGCGCTTTTAAGGGGGGACCCTGGGCGACCTTTCCTGCAGCAGGAGAGGTT